CATACATCTTACTCGTTGCCATACATCTTATTCATAGGCCTCGTTGCCCAAGTGGTCGCAGTGAGACTGCCTGGCAATGGGTCTCGGGTTCGATTCCCGGGTCGGGCAAAATAATACTGGCTTTTTAAAAAAAAATCTCAGTAGTAGCACGGAGTCTGGAAATGTGGCCGGTATATGGCAATAGGCTCACCCCCTATTACACGGGACTCACAACATAAATATTGAAAAGTGGGTGTTACATTGTACAGTGGCATGGAGTACCGTAATGTGCACCTCTGCCTACCCCTTCGGGGATAGACGGCGTGAGGATAAGATATTAATAAAACATCGACGATTGCCTCGTTGGCCGAGGGGTTGCAATTGCGACTGCCGGGCAAGGGGTGTTGAGTTCGATTCCCGGGTCGGGCAAAGTATTACTGGGTTTTAAAAAAATCTCAGTCTGAAATCTGAAATTGTGCCCGGTATATGGCAATAGACTCACCCCCTATTATATGGGACTTATAATATAAATAGTGAAAAGTGGGTGTTACTTCTGTGTGCACCTCTGCCTACCCCTTCGGAGATAATAGACGCGATGTTATGTTATGTAATAAAACAACAAGCATTTTCTCAATGATTTATTTTTAAAACTTTATGACTAGAAAAATCACTAAATCACACACACACGCATAGAAATCCATTTAAACCTACTTTTTCACCACAATTTATCAAATATTATGTTATTCTATTTACAATTATTTACGTATTCAGTGTACGTATAGTTTAATATAAGTATATTATACAAGGGACTTACAAGGTACCTAACCGATAACTGATAAGAAGTGGTTGTCACATTATTTTCTTTATAGAAAACAATTTTTACACTTGACTGGTAACATCGCAAAATGAACTGACAGTCAGGGAGTTTGTACAAAATAGCCTTTGTATACCTATTATACAATAATACCAGAGCAAACTAATGTGATGTTTCCTGTACCTTCCTTCACAAAAAGTTAAGTTAGAAACTTATACGTAGATACAATAATTTCAAAGTCAAAGTCAAAGCATTTATTTCAATTAAACCATGGTTGGGTACTTTTGTTGTTTGAAACGTCAACAAATACAAAATAAATAATAGTCTGTCAATCAGTCCGTCAGTGAAACTAGGGGAAGCTAGGTGCTCATTCCAAAATGTAGATTCAAATGAAGAAGAACAAGCAAAAATCTCAATTCTATGTTTCATTGTGGGGGTTCCGGAGCAGGTCTATTATAGAGGACCCGGTGGCTCTCTTAGGTGATAATGGTGGCCACCGGTATACTTAAAGTGTGGTAAAAATCCCATAATCGTTTGTTCTCCCCAAGCGCCTTTTGAAAGTTTCCCCCGGTTATAAGACAAACAATGATCCCGTTTTTCATCAGTTGTGTTAGTATATTAGGTATTTGTTGTTAAAAAATTATTACCAAACTCCTAGTACAAAAGACCAGGGTTACTATTGAAACCAATCTCAATTTCAATGCAATTTCAATCCAATAAAATCTCAAAAATTATTTGATGTTATAACTGTACAACCCCTATCGTATTGTAGTAACTTGAAAATGGCTATCAGCAACAGGGACATGGCGGTAGTGGGCGCTCTTTTGGGTGGGGAGGGTTCGCTGTAAGCTTAAATTGTGATGCACGCGTGACATTAATATACCTCTATATTTGTGTGTGTTTAATAATGTTAAAATGTAGTAAATATAATGTAACGTAATGTAAATTTTATCAATAAGACTGACAAAATACATTGGCACTACTGGAATCGGCTTACTGCTGCGTGAGCAGACGTCATGCATTCTTAAATGTTCTACAGTCGGTGGCGCTGTGGACTGGGTCGCTCCGTTCCCCACGAAATGGTTGATCGGACCGATTGCTGGCCCTCACGTCATGCTCGTGAACGGGCGCCTTCTGCTGGAGCAGGTCGGCTCGCTCATCGCGCGTGTGGGCCGATCCAGTAAGGTTAATGTAAATGTAATAAAACATGTATTGTGTATATATAGATATTAGATTTAGACACAACCTTCTTTGTGAAAAAAAAATGTGGTTAATGTAGCACGTAAGATTTTTGTAACAATTAATTTTGACTGTAAATTAAAAGAAAATGTAATGGAATGACAAGGGCACGGACAAGAGTCCGTGGAGAATAAGAAATGTAATATTAAAAAAAACCCCTATCGTAGCTGTTAATATAGCATTCAGAGAACGGAATATAAAGCCAAACTCAATACGATTTAGTACATTTAATATCCACGCAATACAGATGCGAAGGACGCTAGTATTTCAACTCAGGAGTATGAAATTTAACAAGACCAATTTCAATCGATCGGAATTGGATTCAAAAGTAAGCGTCGTCTGGTTTGTCCTTATATTATTGCATACAAGTAGATACTTCAGGTTAATTTGCTGCTTTAGTACTTATATTATTCTGAATCAGATTGTTTTAAATGGGAGGTACGTTTGGAAAAAAGTTGAGTCCCTATTGGGCGTCAGTAATTCAAATGGCACCCAAATGGGACTAAAAGTAAAACTATATATTGTAATCGATTTAAATAAGATTTTATGCTTAACAAAACTTAAATTACTGTGTAAAGAAATTACTTTAATTGAGTAGATTTTTGACTTAAAAAAGTGTCCAGTCCCGTTTGGGCGTCAATAATTTATATTTGTAATATCATTTTATTTTTTAATCTGAAGTTATTTTAAACATTCTACGCTTCAAATGTAGAACGATAATCGAAACTAGACAAGAATACCTTTTAGAAAATTATTCTTATAATATTATACATGTTAGATTTTTATTTGCTAATTAATCTTAGACTACCCATCCCAGATATTGCACTCTTTTTCTTATCAGTCCCATTTGGGCGCCATTTTCAAATTCAGTACAAAATTGATATTACATCCGTAGATCGGAAATTCACTAAGTTAATTACTGTTTTGATAAATTGAGTTTTGAAACAAAACATTCCATTTGTCTGCGAAAGGAAAAGTCGAACAGTTTTTGCTAGTTAAATTACAAATTCCATATAATATACCAAGCTTAAGTCACTTTATCAATGATAAAGCATCTCTAAGAATGTCTTGTTTATAGAGGTATGTTCTTGTGTTAGCCTACGGTTACTGCGGATCAAAATAATGATATCTTGCTTGCTTTGTTTTACAACAATGATCTTATCCATTACACTTTACTCTCAATAACATAAAAACATACGAAATGAAATAAATATCGCAGGTTATTCACGTGAATATACTGAGAAAAGCTCTACTAGTTTCGAGCCAATACGCGACATCGGCGCGACCGCGTATGCTGCTGATGAGGAAGAACCCCTCTGTGGCTCGAAACTAATACAGCTTTTCTCAGTATATTCACGTGAGTAACCCGCGATTTTTAGTTAACACACAAACAGTAATTTTAGCCTTAACGATTTTCTCTCTACATCTTTCAAAAAATCAAATCATTCAGCCTTTATGACTACCAACACTGAACAGATCTATCGTAGCTTTGCTGACAGCACTTGGGTAGCTCTGAACTCTGCCTTCCATGATAGTGGATATCTCTCCAGAGCTGGACTGGAGACCGTTCCGCACTGGAGGGACTTTCTTTCCGTTGATTAAGATGTTGTTAAGGTCTGGTGAGTCTGGAAGAAATTTAAAATATTTATTGATAATGTAAAATTTTGGAATATGTCAAAAATATCACTGAGCCTAAAATTATACCCGGTGTAGGGCAGTAGGCTCACCTCCCACATATTCAATGTAACACTCAGTTTTCATCAGTTATGGGGGTGGTATTTTTTTAAGGGGGGAAAATCATCGAATAACTTCTCCCGCCTAGGTGAGGCGGGAGGGAGTGTCAGACTCTTACTGACTAAAAACCACCCCGTTCCTTCTCCTGCAATTCGAGCCAGAGCCCCGGTAACCCGTTAGGTTCTCCGCGACAAGTGGGTGGTAAGTGTGGGTGTAGTAATACGAGGTGCGCCTTTTCTTTAATGACAGGATGAATCCTTCAAAAGGCGCCTAGCGTTTGGGAGAAAGACTAGGGAGTGTAGACTCACTAAAACCATCGCGGTGGCCACCCTCAGCACTTCTAAGAGGAACCGGGTCTTCTGAAACAGACCTGCTTCGGAGCACCCACGGTGCAACGCGTGATACAGCATACCCCTAGGGAGACGTGCTTGTCCCTTGAGCATAGCTTTGCACGGTAGCAAGTGACCGTCTTGCCTGTGGCCACTGTTCATACTTCTAAGAAACTTTCGAAAAACCGTAAAGCCCCTAATAATAGAGTAGTTGCCTAATTTTTATTTTAATGTCCGTCTGGTAGATTATTTTAAATCATTAGACACGTATTGTTTATTTTCTTACAGAAACGAATAGTTTCGACGATATATTGATTTGAAATGTCGCGTGACGTCACTTCTATGTACATTTTATACGTAGAAATGACGTTTTAGCTACCAGTCCTAAACTTTGATTCATTTTATCTAAGTATTGTTTTATTATACGACAAAATAAAAAAAATAATTAAAAAAAGGATTACGGACTAATTCGATTTTTAATTTTCATACTCTGTTATCATCCCAATTCTTTGCAATCCGGGAATTGATCCCGATATCCTTTTCTCGGCAGCAACGCTTGCCAAAGCACAAACTACGTAGTGGGTTATATAAAAAAATATAAAATACAAGAATAGCTAATATTCACATACCCTCATCAACATTCTTAGTCTTCTTCAGCATGCCAACAATACAAGGTCCCTTAGCGAGAGACCAGGAGGGCACATTATCCTCCCTTTTAATAGGCTCCAAAATATTCCTCCTTGACCGCATAACATTAGGCAAATCCCCCCTATTAAAATTATTATCTTCCAAATTTCTTTCTGGCAAGACCGCCACAGGCTTAGAAACTGGCAACACAGCGGGTTCCATTTTCGAAATTTGATTTTCAACGGTAAATATTTCTTTGGTTGCTTCGTCTTTTTGTATTATGGTTTTATATCAGCTGATGAGTTCGTTTCTGTGCTGTCTTGTGATATCAGATGATGTTTTGGAGATATTGAGTCTATTCTCCTTGGTATATTCTTTAGTTTTGGGGGCTGGTCTTCCAAGGAGAGCGGGGGTGCAGTCGCCATGTATTGGTTGTACATGTTTCCTATTAACTCTTCTGTACGTCTGTAATGATACAGGTTATTTAGGTTAGAAAAATAATTTGGTACTTATTTGTAATACCTTAATTTAAGTATGGGGAAGCCATGCTTCGGCACGAATGGGCCGACCAGAGTTATACCACGGCCGAGCAGAAACCTGACGTGAAACAAAGCTTGCATTGTGTTTCGTCGTATAAGTGAGGTTACCGGAGGCCCAATTACCATCCTTCCCAATCTTCTCAATCCCCGAATCCCCAACAATCCTCAAACTCCTAATCCCCAAAAAGTCGATAACGCACTTGTAACGCCTCAGGTGTTCCAAGTATCCATGGACGACGCCGTTTGCTTACCATCAGGTGATCCATCTGCTCGTTTACCGGTTTATTGCATAAAAAAATACCTAATAGGTTTGGAATTAGGAGTTTTTAGGCATTGTTTCACCACTTTCAGTTCGTAATCATCTTGATTATTGTTGTGTTGTCTGACATTGAACTCGAACCCTCATTATTGACAGTAGGTAATACAATACCATTTTACATGCAGTGTGTAAACAGAATGCTCCCGAAACGCTGACAAATAGAAACTGTTTTTTACAATTTTAATCGTTTCCGTGTTATTCAAGCAACATCAGGGTTGAGCAGTTTTTTTATCTATAAATTTTTTAGAGGCTTTTATCACAGATATGTCAGCCCTATCGTACCCTTTACATTACTTTACGTACTTTACATTACTTGACTATTATATTTTCATTAGGTACTCTAGAGGATAACTTGATTAATTGTTATTCGTGGAGGACCAAAATCAAATAGCACAACTTTTTCATAATCGCTGAAGATGGTACGACGCGACACCAGGATAAACTGGTTTTGTGTACCTGAAGGCGTTTCGTTTATATCCTGTTGAAAAAAGAGTTAAGTACCTAAATTAAATATGTCTTACCTAGTCAATGGTATAATTACAGTTTGTGGTGGCGCATTGGTAGGATGGTAGGCGTTAGGACCGAAGCCATCGAGAGCTGAATTACCAGTGACCTACGAAGGGAGAAATGACATTAAAATGTATTCTCTTAACACATGAACAAGTCTTTTGACGTGACAACGTCTTATAAATTGGTTTGCCGGATGACACTTCAAGAAACTGCGTTACGCTCAGCTCACGTTATGCGCTCACAATGAGAGCGAGTGAGAGGCACGCGTCCCTTCCACTCGGGCATGGTTAGCCCGCCTAAGAGCGAGAGAGACAGACATAAAAAGTGAAAGGCACGCGTCATTTTACCACTCAAAGTCGTTGTCACGTAAAACTTTCGCCCGTATTTTTCGTATTAACTTTACAGGCAACCAATTTTTTTTTAAGGGGGGAAAATCATCGAATGGCTGCCCCCGTCTGAGTGAGGCGGGAGGGAGTGTCAGACTCTTACTGACTAAAAACCACCCCGTTCCTTCTCCTGCACGTCGAACCGGAGCCCTGGTAACCCGTTAGGTTCTCCGCGACACATGAACAAGTCTACATGCGAAATAATTTAGTTGGTAGTTTGAATTTTGAATAGTAGGCAGTATATATTAATTTCTTCGAATAATATTATGATGTCGCCATTTTTTAATTTGCATGCCTCAGTATGGTAGGCGTAATATGGTCGGAACTGTACTTTTTTGATAAGTTAATAGTTAGGTTAGTTCGGATAGTAAGGTTAGTTACTAAAAAGAAAGAAAAGAAAAACTTTATTTCACGCCAAAAACAAGTGACATGTATAGATATATCATTCTATTAGTAGTCCCAAGTCTGCGGTGAAATGGGACCAGTTCAGTATGTACAAGACAGGGCCTTGCGCTGGTATTCTACAGGCCATTTAAGTGACTCGTGCACAAAATTGCGAATTCGCAACGTAGAAAATTACGACGCGAATTGCTGCGATGCGATTTCGTGCGACAAGGCGTCTCCCAGGGTGACCATCTCTTCGACGACCGTCAACCGTACTAAACGTATTTTAAATTGAAAACTAGGTCGTAACATGGATTGTAAAAAGAAGTGTGCACTTATGTTATTGCTTAGGATATACAGGAAAAAGAAACAAAGAAGATTTTGGGAAGATAAGCTTTTGATGCGCGATGGGAATCAATTCGCATGTTCTTGCGATGCGTAGAGGGAGCTCGCACATTTTTGCGATGCGACGTCGCATCGCAGTTTTGTGTACGAGCCTTAAGTCATTTACTCTGGCCTTTACCCGAAAAGAAATGTAGTATAATTTTTGTTTTCTTTTTTTTTAATGTTGCCACACTAATGTGTGGTAATTCCTAACGAATTTTCTCCTGTGTCGTGGGTGCGTTTACAAACATACAAGTTCACATACACATGACACCCAGACCCGGAACAACAATTTGTGGATCACACAAAGAATTGTTCCGTGCGGGAATCGAACCCGCGAAACGTTGCGCGGCAGCCAGTTGTCTAGCCACCGCGCCAACCGTGCAGTCAGTGCTATTGCATAAGAGATACAGAATGTGGCGACACGTCATGCACAAGTCAACGGATGACGTTATTAAATCCTACATCGCACATGCAAAGTTTACATTCGATTTAACACGGATAGAAAATCCCAACGAACAACTGTTGGGCAGAAAGCCCGCCAGGCACGATCACCTCGCCTGGTCGGAAGATCCTCCTTTTCCGATCTTAGGGAACTATACCTACTCTCTGTTCCCTGAACAGAAAAAAGAAACAAAGAATAATTTGGTATGACAAGATTTTGATGCGCGATGCGAATCAATTCGTACCTACATTACATTATTACCTACTTATGCTTAATTTTTCAGTTACCTCCAAAACTCCAATTTGTGTGGTCCGCACATGATAAGGGAAGTTCTTATTCGCAAACACTGGTAATGTCAGCAACTGTAATAAAAATTGAATAATTAATTAGATAATTCGTTATTATCAACAGCCTAATAAGAAGCCCAGTTTATAACATATTATAACATCATGACTTTTATCCTCGTAGGTGGAGACAGAGGTGCACATTACGGCACTTAATGCCACTGTACAATGTAACATTCACCTTTCACTATTTATGTTATAAGTCCCATGTATTGCCATATACCGTGCACAATTCCAGACTCCGTGCTACTACTGAGATTTATTTTTAAAAACTCTGTAATACTTTGTCCGTCCCAGGAATCGAACCCGAGACCCCTTACCTCGGCAGTCACACTTGCAACCACTCGGCCAACGAGGCAGTTTTTTATATGATATGTATATTTGTAACTTCGTTGTTTTCGTATATTTCTTCGCGATTTTTATACATAAAGTACTAGCTTCTGCCCGCGACTTCGTACGCACAATCCCGTTTTCTCCCGTTCCCTTAGGATTTTCAAGACTTTTTTCTGTCTTAAGAACCTTCCTCCTGACAATAATAATTACAACAAAAAAATAAACCCAAATCGGTCCAGCCGTTCCCAAGTTATAGCATGACAACGGGAAACCGATTTCATTTATATATATATATGTATAGATTCTATCTGATCTAGATGATCTGATGATTCTAGATGATCTATATGATCATCTAGAAAACTGTGTTTTAAAAACTATGGTACCTAAAATTCGAGTTAGCGTAGTATAAATTGCTTGCGTCGATGTGTCCACTCAATTTTATAAACAACTATCTGTTGCCCGTGACTTCGTCCGCTAAGAATATGATTTCTCTTTTGTCCCATGAGAACATTTAATCGGGTTAAGATTCCTATCAAAGTCAAAGTCAAAATCATTTATTTCAATTATAACAGGAAGGCACTTTTGAACGTCACAACAAAATATTTAAATATTAAATATAAATAATAAGAAAAAAAATGTCAGTCTGTAGGTCAGTCCTCTAGTGAAGCTATTTGCTCTTTATCACCGAAGTCACCCCATACCGTGCCGTTATACCAAATTTCATCGAAATCTGTTCAGTACCTAATATCAGCATGATTGATGGATAAACATCAACATTTTAATATTACTGTTATTCACTCACCAGAAACATAATGTGTCCGCAGAATGTTATAAACAATAGGACAGCAGTCACCACACTCTCTCGCACCCATTTATCTGTAACAAATCTAGGAATTACTGGCATTCTCAGGGTGTAGGGGGGGGGGGGGGGAAATCTCCGAATGACTTCTCCCGCCTGGGTGAAACGGGACGGAACGTCAGACTCTTACTGACTAAAAACCACCCCGTTCCTTCTCCTCCATTTCGAGCCGGAGCCCCGGTAACCTGTTAAGTCCTTCGCGGCTCTGTATCGTCATCACCTAAGATTTTCCCCCTTAAAAAAAACATGAATACCGTTACCGGAGGCCCAATTAACCCCCCAATATCTCCAATCCATGAATCCCCAACAATCCGTACAAAGAGTTTGACTCCTAATCCCCAAAAGGCTGGTAACGCACTTGTAACACCTCTAGTGTTCCAGGTATCCATGGGCGACGCCGATTGCTTACCATCAGGTGATCCGTCTGCTCGTTTACAGGCTTATCCCATAAATAATGAAGAAAAGGATGCCTAAAAATAGATTGAAATACATACCTATGTAAGTATTAGCAGTGAGTATGAACAGAGGTCCCGCGTAGAACCACAGAGTGCCGCAGATGAAGAACGGACAGTAGAACATGTTCTGTAAACATAATAAACAACATAACATGGGGTAGACAGAGGTGCACATTACGGCACTTAATGCTATTGTACAATGTAACACACACTTTCCACTATTTAGGTGGTGAGTGATTGCCATATACCGGGCACAATTCCGGACACCGTGGTACTACTGAGATTTTTTTAAAGCCTTGTAATATTTTGCCCGACTCGAGGAAATCGAACCCGAGAACCCTTGCCCGGCAGTCGCACTCGCGACCACTCGGTCAACGAGGCATTCATACAATAAATAACACTTATTATTTGAGAATAAAGGAAAGGAATCCTTTTATTCCCCTCTATCTACAATTCAGCTAAAAAAATATATTTATGTTTAGATTTTAATAATAACTCGTAATTGCTTTCATCTAAAATAAATTATTTCGACTGTTCAATACAAGAAAATATTTAAAAACAATTACACTTTCATTTATTGATTTTATTACCAACTTAATTTTAGTATTTTTCCAGCAAATGTTAAAAAAATAAGTATGCTGTTTTAGACGCTAAAAAACGTGACGTCACAACACAATACACAATCCCGTACAAAATTCATAGAAAACTGTCGTTTTTGACAGTTCAAAAAAAGTATTGAATTATATATATATCAAATTCAATACTTTTTTAACCCAATTACGAAGCCACAATGTCTTTTTAAGTTTTAACCCTTTGAGTACCGTCATTATAGACCCAATTAAAGAACACTAGGTTGAGGTCACCGGTGTCCTCGCGGTGTTTGACAGTTTAAGTTTCAATTGACATTGTTGTCCTAATTCTAGCCTACCTAGAATTCTTTAGTGCTTCAGAAAATGAGTTTCAAGGCATTTACGAAAAAATATTGGATTAAAACAAAATGTTATATAGATTACTGACTAAAATTGAATATACGCGCTCGGATATATTTGATATGAATAGGGCCGTATATAGAGGGCGCCCTAGACGGACATATACTGACCAGATTGGCGATATATTAAAGAAGGGCCAAATTGAAAGTACCCTTAACCAACGAGCATGCATGAAGAGATTGATGGTTGTTGATGAAGCGAAAGAGGTATGTAGGAATCGTAGTAATTGGCATTCCATAGTTTCTGCCATTGGAGACGGGCGTAAAGTTATGTATGAATGTATATACATTCATACATAACTTTACGCCCGTTTCTGATAAGTACCTACTCTTCTGCCGATCCCCTAAAATAAGAAACTTCCACTCACCTTTTCTGGGTACTTCCTGACAGTGAAGAAGGTGGAGTACGCGAACATGCACCATGCGAGGATCCTCAGCACGATCAGACCGTATCCAGCTGGACTCTCGTATAAGTACAACACTTCACCTGGGTCGAACGCCTGGAATGAATAGTAAGCAATAATTAGTAAGTATTAACTCGTCGAGTACCGGTTTTATAGACACAATTAAAGAACAATAGGTCGCGGTCACCGGTGACCGCTTGGTGTTTGACAGATTAAAGGTTTTTTAAGTTTACGTCTACTTTCGAGGATTGATCGATTTATTTTGAGGTACACCGGAACCTATAAATTATTGTTTATATCTGTAAGTTATTATTTATGTTTTAAATAAGATTAATATCGCATTATTATGCGATATTAATTTAAATTTAAATAATGTTAAATAATGTTTCAATAATAGTAATAATTAAATAATGTTTCAATCTCGGGGTTCATTTCTAGGTTGAGCAAAGATTGGGTCTTCTAGAATTTCTCAGTAATAGCTTTGTATAAAAATGTAGTCAAGCTATTTGGTACATGGGACTCATAGCAAAAGTGGTGAATTGGTATTAATTTGATGCCTAGGTACGCATCCGAGGATATAAAGACCTCACATTATTTATTTATTTTTCATCTGTTTCAGTTAGGGTAACCAATAGCTATATTACAAAGAATAACAATTCAGGATATGCTAATAGAAAGCCAATTATAGGTTTCCACGGCTAGCTACAGTATATCTTTGTAGAGGTGCATGCAATGCACATAAAAGTACTAAAATATCTATTCAGTAAAGGTTAAGTTGCCGACGCATCCTGGAACGACTTGTGGTAAATAGATCGAGTCCTAAATCTTTCCACAATCTATTAAAATCCCTGCTCACTCGCACAATATAGGAGTTCTGACTATAATTTGAGGAAGAAGTTTGGACAGCAATTGGTGGGTTAAATAGAACCGATTTTTTCGGAACATTAAATAACAACATATGCAGAAAGTCTTAGTAATCGATCTCGTTTTTCATAATTTTGACTCACTCCGCTATTCGGGGGCGATTTATAAATGGATGGAGATGAAATCTTTTACAAATTTTCGTAGAGTTTTCCGATCGATACGGTATCTTCAGACGAAAATAAAGAAAGCTAACATATCTCTTTTGGTTTATCCTTACTAATATTATAAATCGGAAAGTGAGTTTGTTTGTTTGTTCCACTATCACGCCGTAACTACTAAACCGATTGCATTGAATTTTTGCAGACGTGAAGTTACAAGTCTGGATTAAATAAGTAAGTACTTTTTATCCCGGAAAAAATTGATATTCTCGAGGGAAAACGAGATTATTGGTATAGATGGCGCTGTTTGTATTGGTATATGTCACATAGGCTACTTTTTATCCTTTTATGACGCGAGCGAAGCCGCGGGTAAAAGCTAGTAAAACATAATGCAAAGACAAGTTAGTAATTAAGACAAGTAGACTAACAAAGAATGCGTCCAAAACTCACCTTAGCCTGATATATAAACAGCACGATATAAGTGACGATATAACAGCACATGAACACAGTCAATCGGACTGTGAACCCGACCTTCAATCGACCTCTGGTTATAGTGTAACCCTTAGCCATTAATACCAAAAGTAAAAGAAACGACATCTCTGATAGACCGCAGAGGAATTGACCTGTAATTAAATAAAATGAATTATAAATAAAGTTTGGATAGTACATTTACTCTTCCCGCGGGTGTCGTATGCCATAAAACCCGAGTAAGGGAGATTTTAACAGTCTCGTAAATTTACCTCCCAAGCGTGGAAATCAATCCTATCTCTGTGAAGATGATAAGGCATGGCGTTATAACGTGGGTCACAAAATATAACTAACCAAAAACTTTAAATTTAAAAGGTGCACCTCTACCTACCCCTTTCAAAAAACTCCAATTCTCCAATCCCTAATCCCCAGTCCCTCAAAAACGCACGTCTGGCGTTGCGGGATTTTCATTCTATCCACACTGATTGCTTACCATCAGTTGACGTTTCAAAAGTACCAAACTATGGTTTAATTGAAATAAATGCCTTGACTTTGACTTTGACTTTGAGTTCTGTTTGCTCGTTTGCCATTAAAAACTCTTTTCAATTAAAAAAGTTTAAACTCACCAACAATCTTAGCATTCTCAGTGCCAAATCCATTAGCAGCATATCGTATGTAAGCTAAGCTTTGCAGCATAACTCCTGAGTGTTGGGATACGACTGACATTAAGAACAATTTATATGTCGAATGGAGAAGGTGTCTAGACTTCAGCTCGACACTGCACATCACTACGGCTATCATTACCACCACATATGCAAAGGTGTACGCTAGGAGTACTGGTAAAACATCTGTGGAAAGAGATTCAGTTAGTCAATTTTCATTATCATAAACCTTTTCTTAATGGTTAGTATATTTTTAAATATTTGGTAAAATGTATTAAAAAACTAGCTTCTGCCCGCAACTTCGTATGCGTAATCCCATTTTTTCCCGTCCACGTTCGTGATTTTCGGTAAAAAGTAAAAAAAAAAATTTGGTTAAAAAGTATCCTATGTTGGTCTCCTGGCTCTAAGCTACCTCCCTACCAATTTTCAGCCAAATCTATTCTGCCATTCTTGAGTTATAAGTGGTGTAACTAACACGACTTTCTTTTATATATGTAGATATAAAAAAAAACAGTAGCCCACTAGTAACGGGAGAAATCCAAGCTACCTGCGTCAGGGCTCCAGAGAGAGGAATTTCCGGACTATCAGCGCCGTGTCCAGAAGTACTGCTTCCTGCATCAGGCCCTTGACCCAACCATCTAACGCTAGCCTACTCAGATGTTGGTCGAGGCTTTTAACAATGAGGCCATTGGCAGATACCACTATCGGCACGATGATTGTTGAATCCACATCCCACATGTTGAGCTAAATTAAGACATTAACTTGCTTTATCTTTTTCAGCTTTCACGAGTTTCTCGTCATGTGGGATTGTTATATCAATTATCATTGTGCGACGGCTTGACCGATCTACCACCACAATCATCATAATCATTATTATCAGTTACAGGACGTTTATTACTGAACATAGGCCACATAATATGACTTTTAGATTAGGCAGTTGGAAGTGACCTATATCCAGCAGTTCCGTGCCACCCTTTTTCGGAAATGGAACCCAAGACTTCGTTTGTAAGATAAAACCAAACTGCCTCAATAAGTTGAAATCATTGTTTACTCTAAGGATTATTCTCGAGGTATTCTATGGTCAACAGCTGCAGCCAAATGCCATTTAGCGCTTGTCTACATGTAAGGTAGAATAGAACACAAAATTATATGGAATTGACATAAAATTTGACACTTGTCAGTGTCATCCCCACACATTCAGTTTTCTACTCTCTCTGTAGACAAGCGCTAAAGTGGCGTTTGGCTAAAGGCACAGGTTCGTCTTTAATAATTCTAGGTCATAAATATATTTCCAATCATTTTTAGTCTTTTACACTTTTACTCACAAAATTCGTCCGCAGAGAAGTGTTCATGCCAGAAGTCACCATCTGCCCGTTGGTCATCAAGAATTTATATCGGATGTCCAGACCCTGGAAGAAATAAATACATAACATAATAACATCACGCCTTTTATCCCCGAAGGGGTAGGCAGAGGTCCACATTATGCCACTGTACAATGTAACACCCACTTTTCACTATTTATGTTATGAGTCCCATGTAATAGGGGGTGAGCCTATTGCATAATAAGTACTATTGTACCAATGTTACTGTTTATTTACTGGCATTCCCAATAACTGCATTGTCACAAGAAACCATAGCATTTCAATATATAGGTACCCCTTACCTTATTACTCTCACAATTGCTGATGGCAATGAACCACCATCGCTCCCTAGCTGATCTGAATCTCCTAGAGTTGTGACAGGTGACCATCAAGTGCTCCTTCTCGCTCTGACTTGCAAGGGCTTTCGGTTCAGCGTTTAAACGACGTCGTCGGTATCGCTCGTAGAGGTCTAGTGATCTTTTTATTTTATGCTGGAATGAAAAAAGAGGTTTATGGAGTTTATTATATTAGGAGATTATGCTAAACTACATTTTTTTATTTATTTATTTCATTAAATAGTAATACATTACGGTCATAAAACCAAAGCGTTATACATTTCAAATAAATATACTTAAAAAAAACAAAACAGAAATGTCTTTAAAATTAAATGACAAATTACACGACACATTAAATTACATGACACACAGACTCAAAACAACAATTTGTGGTAAGACAACAATTTGGTAGCACAAAGGTTTTTTCCGTGCGGGAATCGAACCCACTACACATAGCGTAGCGGGTGCGTATCCGTAGTAGAAATGGTCGTTGCCTCGGGGCGCTCTGAGGATGGGGGCCCTGGGCACAAGCCCCGAGCCCTTATGGTAAACACGGTACTGGTTGTGGTACTTCTTCTCATATAGGGAATCAAAGTCCAAATCAAAGCTGAACTTCCCAAGGTCGTAAGAATCTAACTTAAAATCAGCCTCAGTCACTAAATCTCCAAAAGAACTCACCCCACTCCGATTTCCATTCTCAAAAAGAATTTCAACATCATCCTTCAAGTTTCCAAGATGGCTGCCGTTTCCAGGCGCAATGCTCTCCCATAATTCATCTTCAGGAGTCATAGTAGTAAAATTCCCATCAGTTGGTAGCAATTCGAACCATGTGGTGTTGGTATTAGGGTCTGTAATAGCTTTTGGGTCTCGAGTGGTTGTTTTCAAAAATTGGTCATAGTATGACGGTTCTGGAGGTGTCAGTTTGGTCGAATTTTTGGGTTTTTTCGGCGGATCTGTTGCTTTTGGTGTTGTTGTGCTGTAAATGAAATAGTGGGAATTTTAAATTCATCTCCTTTGTTAGATTAATAATAAAAATAATAAAAATAATAAAATAAAAATTTATTTTCAAACATAATAGTCTAGAAATGTACAGTATTGCTTAAAGCTATATAAAGTTCACAATATGAGGTGCCTGAACTAGGACATCCTGTGTTTCAGGCGAGGTTAGGTAATAGTAATAGACATTGTTATATAATCACTAGTACTTAAATGCTTATAAGTTAAGGTAAATTATGACAATATTTAGTTATGCATACTGATATAAAGTAATATTTAAATTCTATGCTTAATATGTATATAAGAGTATGTATGTAGTATATAAATTAGAGATTAGGAGCTTACGTTAAGTATTATTTAGGAACTAATAATAACTTCTCTAGAATAAACTACACGTTTAATTTTTTTATGGCAGTCGCCGGTAAACGAGCATACGGATCACCTGATAGTAAGCAATCGGTGTCACCCATGTGCACCTGAAACACCAAAGCGTTACAAGTGCGTTACCGGCCTTTTAGGGATTAGGAATTTGAGGATTGTGGAGGAGTCGGGGATTGGGGAGACTGGAGAGGAGGGTAATTGAGCCTTCGGTAACCTCACTTACACGACGAAACACAATGCAAGCATTGTTTCACGTCGGTTTTCTGTGAGGCCGTTGTATCACTCCGGTCGAACCGGCCCATTCGTACCGAAGCATGCCTCTCCCAAACTTTTATTGATAAAAAAAACCCAGCGAGAGTTTCACACATTATTTGGTAAAATCTCCAGAATGAGAGAGAACCGAATATACTCAATTGAAGATATTATCGAGAATCAAAACTTACCACATAATACTTCAACAAGCATTAGTCTACACAATCTTAATAAATAACAGTTAAAACAAACACAGATAGCTTTAAGATTACTTAAATTATCACCTAACTGCTGACTGCAGCATATCAAGCTAGAACTCCAGTATAAACTGACCGTCATTATGAGGAAAGGTCATATAAAATGGGACCAAGATAAAGTGGTTTAATATAGGTCAATGTGTTGCTGTGTGCACTGTGGGCGCCCCACGGACGAATGTGTTAACGAATATGGGTCAGTTGTTCTCTTAAACGTAGGTGCTATGTCAGTAACCTAACGTATAATAAAACTAGGATTTTTGTGATGTTATTCCTTGTTAAGTAGGTACTATAAGATCTAAGGTCCACTGACGAATGAAAACGAGGTTCCACGGATACCTCAAGAGAAAGACCATTCAATGGGGGCTAACGTTTTTTTGCTCGCTAACATAACACCACGCCTTTTATCGCCGAAAGGTTTTTTTTTTAAGGGGGGAAAATCATCGAATGACTGCTCCCGCCTGGGTGAGGCGGAAGGGAGTGTCAGACTCTTACTGACTAACAACCACCCCGTTCCTTCTCCTGCACGTCGAGCCGGAGCCCCGGTTACCCGTTAGGTTCTCCGCGACTCCGAATCGGCATCGGCCCTATTGGGCCCCATCTGTGGTGGTCTGATGGCTCTTTGAGGCGCGCGCGGAACGCGACGCGCCGTACGCTCGGGTCTGTTTCTGGTCGGACGGGGAGCCACCCATGCTCGCCGTCCGCAGGCCCGCGCTTACGGTGGCCGGAGATCGTCCCGCGATACCCGACGCCCGGTGTGTCCTTCGCGATGGCTGGATTGCGAGGAGGCAGCGCTTCGCTGCCTCACGCGTCCCGCCTCCTCCTTAGCTAGCATAACTGCTTCGCAAAAGGAGGAGACGGCATCCCAGTCCCCCTCGCTCCGCATCATGGCCTGCACAAGGCCCGGACGCGAGAGGTCGCCATCGCCGATCACTTCCCTGAGGGCACGGCGGTGCTCAGCCCACGCAGGGCATGCCGCTACAATTCAATGGGGGCTAACGTATAAATATTTGCTGGCCCGGTCGCGTAAATGTAGGAAGTTTTTATTAGTTAAATGGGTACTTTCCTTAATCAATAATTAATATTTTCCACTGTTCAATGCAATCAAATATTAAAAATATTCACAGGTTCATTAATTTATTGTATGACCAACATAATTTTAGTATTTTTCCAGCAAATAAAAAAAAAATAAGTATGCTACTTGACGCTAAAAAACGTACAATACACAGTCTCAAACAAAATTCATAGAAAACTGTAGTTTTTGACAGTTCGGAAAAAGAATTGAATTTGACTAGTTGGCAGGTACACAATTCCCTGTTAGAACACGAACAAGAGGATCATTTAATGTATTTGTGAGATTGTAAAAACAATTTTTTGGCAAGTTTAAGGATGTAGTTTCTTGCTCGGTCTTCTCCATTCGAAACTACACTTTGGAACGGCCCCGTTCGTTTACATATAGAAGTTCTATTCCTCCTAAGAGGTGCCGACAGTGACCATTGGAGTGGGACACATCAAAAGATGAAGTGGGAATAGCACATCTCAGTTTTATCCTGAAAGCCTATTGTTATAATTGAGCCTCCGGTAACCTCAGTTACAGGAGGAAACACAATGCAAGCGTTGCTTAACATCAGTTTTCTGCTCGACCGTGGTATCAACCCGGTCGAGCCGACCTGTTCGTGCCGAAGCATGGCTCTCCCACACTTAAATGGGATAGGGCAGGGAACGCGCAAATGGTATTAACATACAATAATGGAAATTAACAATCGGCGCCACCAGTGTTACAAGCGCGTTGCCGTCATTTGGGAATTGGGAGAATTGGAAAAGGTTTCATCTCCTTACCAAAAAAGGCCACCAATTTCTAAAATTATTATAGTACCTACTATCTGTCGCCCGCGACTTTGTCGGCGTAGATCATGAATTTTAGAACATAAGTAACTACATATTTTTGTTTCAATTTTCCAAAATAAAAGTAGCCCATGTTACTCCATTAGCTACCTGCCAACAATAGTCTTGCATAATCGGTCCAGCCATTCCACAGATTAGCCAGTATAAACAGATATACAGACAGACGAAAATTGTAAAAAAGTTATTTTGGTATGTGTATCGTATGTTAATTTATGTGTCAATTTTATTTATTTATATAGATGTAAACATTCAGTTTAGAATAGAGCAAAATACCTTATATATACGGTCCAGTAATTGAGTTAGGTCAAGATCACGTCCTTTCTCATATTGAGAGCAATCCCATTATTATATGTAGGTGGGCCAAGGTTCGTGGACTAAGTATGAAGTAACGAAGACTTATTTGGTTCAGAAAAAAACCTTTTTGTATAATGCTCCGGGTAATTCAACCGCTAATCTATTATATAGGGAAGCATTAATGTAATCAACTAGATACCAATATTACCAAATAAAAATATACTATAGTCAGGATCTTTATTGGCAAAAAAAATACAATACCACCTTCTAGAGTGGAGTTCATATGTATATAGCCCACTGTTATCTAAACGATGTTGTTTTGTTTTCGACAACCACGCGAACGAAGTCGCGGGCACAGCTAGTTCTTAATAATTTTCTACACGAAAATCTATCCAGGTATATAAAAAATGTCGTGGTGGCTCGGTGGTCTAAGACGCCCGTTTCTCATACATGAGGGTTCGAAACCTACCAACAGCAAGTACCAATATGAGTTTTTCCGAGTTATATTTACTTTCTAAGATTATTTAGACATCACTGACAAACGGTGAAGGAATAAATCGTGAGGAAACCTGGACTTATAATTTTTAATTATAAGTTTGAAATCGACAACCCGCATTGAGCAAGCGTGGTGATAATAATAAACTTAAACCTTCTTCGTTGAGAAGAGGCCTTTGGTCAGCAAGGGCCACTTATAGGCTGTTGATGGTGATTGATGTGATACAAAAAAGAACTATCCAATGCAATGCAGTAACTGAACAGCTTTAGTTTATCAGAAAGCCTAAGCATCTAAGGTCTGGTATTACAAAACCTGCTTGACGAGTAGGGGTCGTGATATTTTATTCTTTAAGTGTTGGAGAGCCAAGCTTCGGCACGAATGGGCCGGCTCGACCGCAGTGATACCACGGCCGAGCAGAAAACAGACGTGAACAACGCTTGCGTTATATTTCGCCACACGAGTGACGTTACCGAAGACCCAATTACTCAATCCCCACTCTCCCAATCCCGGAATTCCCAACAGTCTTTAAATTCCTAATCCTGAAAAGTCCGGTAATGTATTTGCTATGCCTCTGGTGTTTCGGATATCCATGGGAGGCGCGGATTGCTTACCATCAGGTGATACGTCTGCTCGTTTACCGGCTTATCACATAAAAATAATCTTTGGTCACCAGTTTAACTCGTCGAGTACCGGTTTTATAGACACAATTAAAGAACAATAGGTTGCGGTCACCGGTGACCGCTTGGTGTTTGACAGTTTAATAGGAGTTATGCACAACCAGACAACAGAAATCTTAAGTAATTAAGATGTGATACCACACAAATATTTATATGATTCAATTTGAAACTTCATACCGAAAAGAAGATAAGATGTTCTAAATAATACGCTAAAACCTTACCTCTTGGCAGCTGGTAACTCCTTATTATGTTTCGTGATAATACATCCTGAGTACTCCGTGTCTGGGTACCAGTGTGATAGTCTGATGATCTGGTTCTGTCCAGCTCTGTTCAATACCTCCTCTCTCTGTTTGCAGGTCTGTAAAGAAATTATAATTAATAGTCAACTACATAGGTTCTTTAGGTATAACCTATACCGATAGTATATAGTCGATACCTATATATAGTCGATTTTTCGATGCTCAGTAAAATTTTATCAGTGGAATAACTTTGAATATTTGACAATTCTTTCATACTAATAACTGTCTTCTGTTCTGTTCTACAGTTAAGAATTCACTGACGATTGAAAAATTGGTCGTCATCGTGTAATCTATAAGTTTTTATGGTCCCGGTAGTGCAATGTTTATAAAAATTGTATTTTAAACTGTCGTTAGAGAAAATCTTCGCTATAAAAGTATTTATTGTGATTTCGTTTTGTTTAGCAATTACTTAGGCTTCCTTTTTGAACCTTTGTCTTTTCTTTCTTAATTACAGCAACACTTTAGAAGAAATTTTTGAACCTTACCTTACTACTATGGTAAACGGACGGCCATTGAGAATCATCATCATAATACAGCAGGAGGTTAGGTATACCAGCATCCTTGTCATATTCTATGAGGTACTCGAACTGCCCCTCTAGGGAGAGGAAGCAAAAACGAGCGAGGAATGCCCAGTTCTGTGGAGATGATGAAGAGGATATTTCTAGAGTCGGCAGATTAACCACATAAGTAAAAAAAAATGCGTTTTGTTATTATTATAGAGGTATCAACAATGTTAAAATAAATTAATACATAGACCTCTTGTCTGTTGACAGTTGCGACCATAATGTGTTTTATATCGAGAGCCGGTGTTTTTTTTTTATAGCACAAGCCGGTAAACGAGCAAACGGATCACCTGATGGTAAGCAATCGGCGCCGCCCATGGACACCCGAAACACCAAGGCGTTACCAGCCTTTTGGGAATTGGGAATTTGAGGATTGTGGAGGATTCGGGGATTCGGTAGACTAGGGAGGAGGGTAATTGGGCCTCCGGTAACCTCACTCACACGACGAAACACAACGCAAGCGTTGTTTCACATCGGTTTTCTGTGTGTTTCAACAGATAAGAAGATAGACGGACTAAAGCATTAAATCACAGTCGGCTTTGACTTATGTGGTTTAATCTACCGACCCTAGATTTAATACAACAAAGCATTTCATGTCTTTTTGTTTAAAAAAAAGTTGCCCCATACTAGGATTTTCTCCTGTGTCGTGTGTGCGTTTACAAACATACAAGTTCACATACACATGACACACAGACACGGAACAACAATTTGTGGATCACACAAAGAGTTGCTCCGTGCGGGAATGAGACCCGCTACACGTTGCGCTTCAGCCGGCTGTCCCGCCACAGCGCAGACCGTGTAGTCAATGCGTGTATACTGCAGATCCTGGTATACACATAAGTTGAAGTGGTTTTGATAGGAATCAAACCTGAAATCCCTTGCTTGGTTTTGGTTATCGTGACAACCTAGGTGCTTACTCTTGAAACCAATCTCAATTTCAATGCTAATTTAATCCAATAAAATCTCAATACCCGGTATATGGCAATAGGCTCACCTCCTATTACATGGGACTCAAAACATAAATAGTGAAAAGTGGGTGTTACATTGTATAGCGGCATTAAGTGCCGTAATGTACACCTCTGCCTACCCTTTCGGGGGTAAAAGGCGTGATGTTATGTTATGTAGATATCTACCTAACCGCGACATATCCTACCTAGTTCGCGTGATCAAAGGCAAGCCTGAGCCTATTGCCATATACCGGGCACAATTCCAGACTCCGTGCTACAAGCTACAACTGAGAATTTTTATTAAAAACCAAAGTTATGTTTTGGCCGACCCGGGAATCGAACCCGAGGCCCCTTGTCCGGCAGTCGCACTTGCGACCACTCGGCCAACGAGGCAATCAATAGGTACCAATATAAAATATATATATACTAGCGGACCCGACAGACGTTGTCCTGCATATTCACTTGAATGTATAAACAAAAATTCATTCAAACTAGTTCAGCTGTTTAGGATAAAATAACCTAAACATCGACTGCAGCGCCATCTGCTGGGCTGATTTGTGAATCTAAACCATTCCCAGATCCCCTTGAACACACACAAAAAAAATCATCAAAATCGGTCCAGTCGTCGAGAAGTTCAGTGACATACACACTCACAGAAGAATTATATATAGAGGTATATACATACATAGGCATAAAAACTCACATCTTTGGTATCGATCCTGCCTTCCACCCATTTAGCTTGCACCCCTGACAATACCGAAACCATAAAACAAACCCCTGACAACAGGAACATTATTGATCTAACATTCAGAAAACCAATTATCCCGTATCTTCCTTTTTGACTGTTGAAAGCCGATTAAAGAGCTATCTTGATACATCTAAACATGGTACCACCTCTCTTCTTAAAAATGACATTTTTGTGTATATATACCTACTGTTATTTTCGAGTCATATCTTTGATGAATCTGTAAACAAATAAATAATAAAAATTTTAGTTAAAAATTACGAGTTAAAAATAAACTCAATTAGATAATATACCAAACCAAATACATAAAACCACGGCTTTGCAATTGTTTTTATGGAATATGTCGGTAAACGAGCAGACGTATCACCTGATGGTAAGCAATCGGCGTCGCCCATGGACACTCGAAACACCAGAGGTGTTACAAGTGTGCTACCGGCCTTTTGATTAGGAGTTTGAGGATTATTGGGGATTCAGAGATTGAGGAGGAGGTTATAGGGCCTCCGGTAATCTCACACACACGACGAAACGCAACGCAAGCGTTGTTTCAGGTCGGTTATCTGCTCGGCCGTGGTATCACTCCGGTCGAACCGGCCCATTCGTGCCGAAGCATGGCTCTCTCACACTTTCTATTAATTTCATATTTCTATTAAGTATAAGCAATTTTTCCATTTCATTATCTAAATAACTTTAATTTCCGTATTTTCCCATTAATTTCCCGAGTTCTACAAATAGAGGTCATATCGTAGATTAAAACTATAAAAATAAATAACTACGCCATTGCATGCTACTTTGAAGAAAAATATAATTAGAAGTAGAAGATAATAAAACAATAATTCTTCCTTCTGGCAAATATACCTACTTATTGTTTTTTTTCTACTTTACGTATATATTTTTCAGAAAAATAGTTTTGGATGAATAACCAGATGCATAGATTCAATGAAAGGGCCTGTTTCGGCGCAATCAAATTTTAAAACAGTATAAAAATTCTATAGTTATTTCTTTATCAAATCTGAATCAAATCGTAAATTTAATCAATAACAAAATTCACTAAAGATCATAACTTTTACAATTTAATTTAGACAATTATCTTCTACCATTAATTAAACTTAATAAAAAAAAATTACTAGAAACATCTACACCATTATAATATAGGTCATGAAAAAGAAAATCGCTTACCTTGAGGAAAACGCTTATAATTTTCAAATAACTCACATATGTGCCACTTAAATTATAATTAATGATAAACTATATAATTATAAATTTAATTTCTACACAATATTTCACTTGTATGGTTAAACTGAACCAGTTTTGTTTTGGCTTAAATTTTGTTGTGGTATCGGTTGCCATGGCAACGCGTCCGTGGTAATAGCAAGGAATGTTGAACATCAATTACCAATTGTTCTATCTTATACTTATTAGCAAATTATATGTTTTTTATGGCATAAGCCGGTAAATGAGCAGACGGATCAACTGATGGTAAGCAATCGGCGTTGCCCATGGACACTTGGAACGCCAGAGGCGTTACAAGTGCGTTACCGGCCTTTTGGGAATTGGGAATTTGAGGATTGTGCAGGATTCGGAGATTCGGGAAACTAGGGAGGGGGGTAATTGGGCCTCCGGTAACCTTACTCACACGACGAAATACAACGCAAGCGTTGTTGGGGAGATTGGGATGTATCTGTATCTTAATATTAGTTTTTATCATAGGATTTTAGCCTCATCATTGTCATCTGAACTTCTGAAGATAGAAAACTGTATTATTCAATTTTATTATTTTATGTTTAACCTATAGCTTCTGCCAGTGACATCGGTCGCATTTCCAGGTGTTATCTAATAATCCTTAATAAATATTATACATCGGAAAGTGAGTTTGTTTGTTTGTTTGTTTGTTCCGCTTTCACGCCGTAACTACTAAACCGATTGCTTTGAATTTTTACAGACGTAAAGTTAGAATTCCGGATTAAATAATAGGGTACTTTTTATCCCGAAAAAATGTGATATTCCCGAGGCAAAACTAAAGTATTGGTATAGATGGCGCTGTGTGTTTTGGTATATGTCAAATAGGCTACTTTTATCCTTTTGTGACGCGAGCGAAGCCGCGGGTAAAAGCTAGTTAAAGTATAATCGTACCAAGTTTCATCGAAATCGGACCGGTAGTTTTTGCGTGATGGGTGAACACACAAACTCAATGAATTCCATTCCTTAGCAGTACCTACGCACAAGGAAGCTTAAGCGAAGCGCTTCGTTCGAGTGGGTGGAACATCTATCATGAATCGGTGAAGCTTCGCCGATGGTTGTGTGTTACGATGGAAAGGACTAGGGGGAAATAAGTTGTGTAATTTCTTACAGGACGGTTTATCAAAGAGCACTGCTGCCCCGGTCTCTGTCAAATGCGTAGTATCATTTAACTTATTTGTACATGAACGGCGCTGATTGCTTACCATCAGGTGATCGGTCTGCTCGTTTACCGACCTATGCCATAAAAACATATTGCGCTGTTATATTATTATTACGACGTTGACATTGCGTCAAACTAACCCGTGACGAAGTTACGTCACATAATTTAGTGCAGACTCAAATATTCCACGACATAATTTGTGGACGTAATTCAGAAGGATTTTTAATGGGCGAAATTCGTTGAATGGCTTCTCCCGCCTGGGTGAGGCGGGAGGAAGTGTCAGACTCTTACTGACTAAAAACCACCCCGTTCCTTCTCCTGCGCTTCGAGCCAGAGCCCCTGTAACCCGTTAGGTTCTCCGCGACTTCGAATCGGCATCAGCCCTATTGGGCCCCATCCGTGCTGGTCTGATGGCTCTTTGAGGCGAGTGCGGAACGCGACGCGCCTTACGCTCGGGAATTCGGAAGATACGCCTACTTCTTCAAAAGAGTCGTTCTAATCTGGAAAAAGAGTCTGGAGATCATCATCTGATCAGCCATCAAAAGGGTAGATGATTAATTTTTATTTTAATGTCCGTCTGGTAGATTTTTTAAAACATTAGACACGTATTTTTATTTTCTTTACGGAAACGAATAGTTTCGAAGATATATTGATTTGAAATGTCGCGTGACGTCACTTCTAAATACCTACATTATATACGTAGAAATGACGAATAAGTATAATCTATATGTCGTAGGATAATTTGATTCTTCGAATCTTCGCGAAAATCCTAGGGGTTTTGCGAAAACGCGGATAATTAGACATAGGCGAAAAATTTTCAAATCTTACTGGACAAAGTCAGGATTTTTGCGAAAATACTCATTACTATAGTAAGATTGCGGAACAAAACGCTGGCTGTTATGAAATAAGAACGCTGATTGGTCGGTCAGCGCGTTCAATAAGAGATCGTCTCTGATTGGTTGACGTCTTAAATGTTTTTTCGTCGTCTTAAACGACCAGTTTCATCCAATTTATGGATTACACCCTAAAATTGGATCATTTTTTTTACTACGACTGAGATCTCCTATTGTCTGTAGAAAACAACATACATACTAAAATCAATAAAAGGTTTATAAAAATCTATTTAGTGATTTTTCTTTCTCATCTATTCTAAACCTTCATAACTCTATGATACAATACTTGAAGTTAATCATCGGCAAACTAGGAACCAATTAGAAGTCAGCCAGCAAAATTGTAGCCAATCAGTGTTGAGCACATCAAATCTTACTATAGTAACGAGTATTTTCGCAAAAATCCTGACTTTGTACAGTAAGATTTGATAATTTTTCGCCTATGTCTAATTATCCGCGTTTTCGCAAAGGATTTCCGCGAAGATTCGAAGTATCAAATTATCCTACGACATATATATATATAAAAGAAAGTCGTGTTAGTTACACCACTTATAACTCAAGAATGGCAGAATAGATTTGGCTGAAAATTGGTAGGGAGGTAGCTTAGAGCCAGGAGACCGACATAGGATACTTTTTAACCAACATTTTTTTTTACTTTTTACCGAAAATCACGAACGGGGACGGGAACAAATGGGATTACGCGTACGAAGTCCCGGGCAGAAGCTAGTTTCTTATACAACAAAATTAAAAATACGTGTCTAATATTTTTTCATTACCTGACTTACTGACTAATTGCATTTTTAATTTTCATACCCTGTCATCATCCCTATTCTTTGCCAGAATCTGTGTTTCCTGGTGTGTTCACCTGGGTGTCTTTCAGGACCGAGTGGATAGGTTGCTTATGGGATGACGTGCTCCATCGTAGACCGCATCATCGCTTACCACCAGGCGAGGTGATCTTACGTCGGGCCTACAAATATAAAAGAAAGCCACAAGCCGTTAGCCGCCTCACGTAGGCCGCCTCCAATGAAATCACAGATAGGTCGGTAGTAAGCAAATCCCGACGACCTTCTGTGACCATTTGGAGATCACTAAAAATAAGCTTTGTAGAAGACTCGAATCCATGATGCTTTGTACAGAAGCTGGTATATCACTCACTACATAGTATAAAACAAAGTCGCTATCCGCCGTCTGTCTACACCTATGTATGCTTAAATCTTTAAAACTACGCAACGGATTTTGATGCAGATTTTTTTAATAGATAAAGTGATTCATAATGAATGTTGCATGCATAATGCACCCGTGCGAAGCCGGGACGGGTCGCTAGTTATGTACCTATATTAATCTTAGTAAAGACTCCAAGCTAATAGTAATTTTAATTAGAAAAATTAGACACACGAATCGAAATTGACACGTAACACTTACGCTGTTATTATAGTCCCGTGACGAACTTACGTCACATAATTTAGTGCAGAGTAAAATATTCCACGGCGTAAATTGTGGACGTAATTCGGAAGAGGCGTTTTAGGATCATTAGATTAGGAATTAGGATATGCCTAATGTTATGATTGTCATGTCAACAAGACGCGTTTGAAGGTTAAGTCTGTGTTTACTTACTAGTTTATTTCATGCGGTTTTTGTTGGCGTATTTCTTTTTTAATGGTCGGCTTGGCCAGTATATATATGTAGTTTTTTTAGTTAATAAAATATATTTTCATGGAAATACACGACGTAAATAAAGTAGGCACTATTCGCATCGC